AAATCCTGAAAAGGAAAATCAAAATTCAACATAATACTAGTAAAATCTAAGTAATAAAATTACAACATGGTTGCCTCAATCCAACTCAGCATTCTCTATACCTGCTTTTGTGCTACAACAGCAGAGTTGAGCAGTTGTGACCAAGATCATGTAGCCAACAAAGATCAAGACATTTACTTTCTGGCCTTGTACCATAAACATGTAGATACCTCCCCCGCCCCCCATCTAAGACTCATTATTTCAACTTGTAAAGGTATTTTGTAATCCTGCTCTACTATTAAGGATAAGGCCCTTATATAACGGTCCTTATATAATTATATATTATATATAATGGTGCTTTTATTAATATATATAATTTTATTTATTATATGTAAGGACCTTATATAATGAGTCCAATTTTCATAGTTAACTAAAGTTAAATTTGCTTTACTATATTAAAAAAGAATATGGGTAAAAACATAATTCAAGAGAGACAAGCAGTTGGTGTAATGGCTATGTCGCTGGACTCCCATGTAGTCGATCACAGTTCAAGTCCCGGACCCAGCTGCTTAAACTCAGGTGCATGTTACTGCACGCCCAAGATCCCAAGAGGAAAAGGGATTGTGGTGTGGCCATCCCCCCTGGGGGAGGGTGATTTCTCACTTTCTGTCTCTCTGTCTCTCTCTCTGTCTGGCGAGCACATGCGCCCTACAGCAAAAACCTCTCAAAAAATTTAATTAATAAATAATGATAATAATTCAAGGGTCACCTGATGGCCATGGTGGGTTAAGACAGCTGGATGCCACATGGCCAACTACAATGTTGAAGTAACAGACTTGGTGGCTTGAAAAATACATCAGGTACGTGTGCATGTGTGCCCAAAATTCCAAGAGGAAGATGGAAGAGAAGGGACTGCGGCACGACCATCCTCCCTGGGGAATCCTTTCTCACTTTCCACTACCCCGCTCAAGCTGTCTCTCTCCAGCAAGCAGAGGTGCACTACAGCAAATTAACATGCACACACAAATTCAAGAGTACTCAGGTTGGGCCAGTTCCATGGTCTGGTAATTGAGGGAGCCAGATCCCACACAGCCAACTGTGCAGTTGGAATCCCAGTCTAAAAAAAAACACTGAGTACTTATGCATGACAGCCCCAGATCCCACCAAAATAGAAAAATGGAGAAGGGACAATGGTGTGACCATGCCTCATTAGTGGGTACTTGCTCCTCCCTGTCTCTCTCGAGCACATACATGCTCCATCAATTAAAAAAAAAAAAAAAACAGTACTCAAGTACATCAAACTCATGGTAACAACATATCCCTATTTGAAGGTAAATAGTAATCTAAAGTAGAATACTAGAGACTTCCTTATCAAAATGTAACATAATTACTCCTTAAGAATGTAAAAAAGGGGCTGGCCCTATATAGCACATTGGCTAAGCACTGCACCAAAGAAGCAGGCTCCCACATGGCTGACCTGAGCTCAAGTCCCAGGTCTTGTCACCTGAAAAACACTCTGGGTATGTACTTGTGGCCCAGGCTTCTGACAGGAGAGGAGTGGAGGAAAAGGGACTGCAGCATGACCAGACTCCCCTGTGGACAGTGCTTTCTTTCTTTCTCTCTCTTTCTGGTATAAAATAAAAACAGGGCTGGCTTAGGGACCAAGGGAGCCAGATCCCACATGTCCAACCATGGTTCAAATCCTTGATCCAGCAGCCTTAAGAAACATGCAGCTTGAAAAATCCTGACAGGAGAGAGAAATGGAGAAGAGACTGCATGCCCCGTTCAGGGAATGCTCTCTCCCTTTCTCTCTCTGGCAAACATTAAGCACCCTTTGACAGGTAAGAAAAGAAAAAAGAAACACAAATATACAAAA